CTAGTAAAATTTTAATTCTTTAGTCTTAGACTTCATTCACACGCCTCTATTTATAGTCGTTTGATCTCCTCAAGATTTGTGTTGGAATTATTGTAGTATACACACACACACACAAATAGAAAAATGTGACAACACAAATCACAAATAAATCTCATGGACAACCAAAGAAGTGGTGAGGGCTCACAATAGCCTACCATGGATGCACTCAGACTGCACACTCAACTGACCAGTTCATCTTAACGAAGAAGCTGAGTTCCCTTAATGGATAAATGAGAATCACCACTAAATAATCCAGTTGATTGGTACTGCCTGAATGAGCTTATTCTTCCCAATTCGTATTAGATCGGGAAGAGTAAACAAACCCTCCATCTTTTGGATGGTTTCTATGAAATTTTGACAAATATTCACCTAGCAAAGAGACTACCTAGCTTTATAATCACTCAATCTTAAGGTTTCTAGTCGACACCTTTTTTTGTACAAAGTACGATGCTCCAGCCGCACCCATGTACTGTAAGGTCACGATGTATAATTATATATTGACACATTCCTATAAATAGTGGGTCCATCACATAAATAAAAGCTACGTAATTTTACTTTTCAAGACTATGTTATTGCTCTTGTTTTCATTCTTTACGTATGAACTTTTGGAGTTTTCAGCTTGTCTTATCGTTTTAGTATAATTCTCTTTCCAAATATTTCTCTCTTTTGAATCATGAAGATAATTCAAGGAAAAGAAGAATCTGAGAGAAACAAAATATGAAGAAAATAGACAAATGATTAAAAAGAACATGTACAACTTTCATAAGGTAACATTCACGCGATAGCGTAAAAGCATTATCTGAAACAAGATCAGATAAAAAATGCTTTGAAATCATATCCACAAAAAACCCCATAATAAAACCCATAATCAGAGATTCAAGTTTTTTGCTTGTTCTAGGCCATGAACAGCTCCCAATGGATTGTAGTCCTTTGGTTATGTACATCTTAAGGGATGCTCAAGAATACTCCCAAAAAATAGGGTCTTGCTTACAATATTTGTGATATTTGATTATTTGGGAAACCAAAGGATTTAAAAAATCTCAAGCGAGATAATCTCGATGCTTTTGATACTTATATCTAGTCATATGGCAGAGGGTGAATCACTGTATCCCCTATGAGCGGTGACACCTAGGCATGCAAGGTCCACGAGATGATATTAATGATTTTCCAAAGGAATTAACAGGGCTTAAAAGTTATGTCAACGGAAAGGGGAGGAATCCGTAAGCAGGTAATGATAGCCAGGTCAGGATACAATGGATCTATTATCTCAAGCTATAGAGGCCCTAAGTCTACATAAATTGTGTTGTTCAAGAAAGTTGCTAATCAGAGACCACTTATAAGCAATCCTTGAATAGCATTATCTAAGGGAATATCGGTAGCCCTAAGGCTAGAGGAAAGAAACCTCTAATTTCCGATGACTCTCTAAGAGGTGGAATAGGTAAAAACGGGACTTGTACCCATCAATTACATGTCGAAGATGCCACTGGAATGGAAGAGGAAAGAGAGGCCCAACTACAAAGCCAAAACATTCCCATAAAAGAATTACTCCCCATTTGGGTTAGGAGAGCCGACATGCTAGAAAACCTCCTAGGTTTAAATTTTATGCTTGACTTAGTCGATTGATGGAGCACGAGGACATCTTTTCGGGAAATGAAAAATAGAGTAGTTGTTTGTAGCTAAATTTAAATGTGGAGGCTCTATTACAGATGATTTGAGTGATTGCTATGCTATGCAACTCATTTAAAATAGTCCCGAAATCCATACAAGAAAGTAAAGCAGAAAGTAAATTGCTCATTTTAAAATTAGAATATTTTAATCCTAATTTTTTTAATCTTGAATTTTTTATTATTAGGACTTAAAAAAATCTTTTTGGGTCCTTAATGAGCCTAGATAGCATTTTTCATTGAGTACAAATAAACAACAAGACAAGAAAGAGAAAATATCAGGCATGAAAAATAATTTAAAATAAGTCAAATAAATATATAAAAGACATACATGCTGTTGGACTTACAACATATCCCAGAAAGTAGAAAAAGCAGCCAGACTTCGCATTTACATGCTAAGTCCTAATTCTATACATGAATAAAAATTTGGAATTAAGAACGGGACACGAGTATCTGCTCCTTGTCCTCGTCATGTTGTTTGATGCGTTATGTCGAAACTCATGCCCATATCATATTTCTTATACAGACTCCTTAAAGACTCTAAAAATACATTTTGAAATTTCAAAACAAGACTCAACCTGTAGAAGAGGTTAACACGTGTTATATTCATGCAAAGAATAATGACCCATGCCTAGTGGCATGAGAGCATTAGCAATACCTACAAAAAAAAAGTTTTTAAATCATTACTTGCTCCTACCTTTTTATTCATTTTAGGCATAACTCTATGCAAGAAAACTACCCTAATATATGCTAGTGCACAAGTCTCAAACTCCAGTAAACACACAAAGCAACAATAAAAAAAATGTCTAGCTAGGGAAACTAAATAGTAACGAATAATAGCTAGAACATTAAAAAAATTAGCTAATCATTCTAGTCCTAGCCTAACATATCATCAAAAGAAAGTGTCATAGTCACAATATCTAAGTGTATGTGCAGTGCAAGGGTAAGTGTTACTGTATAACTTTGATGGGTTCACCAAAACCAACCCCATCCTAAAGATCCAAAGGGTCTATTGTACATCAACTAAGAGGTTTTTTAGAGAGTTGGCCTCTAATTGGCCTAGTTTTACTACTTACATAATTTTAAAATAAGGCGGATACCCGTAGTAGAGAAATTATAATTTTTATTTTAAAATAGGGTCATTAAATGCAGGTTTGTAACATGCATGGTGACATACGTTAGAACCCTTTGAACCTTAGCACAATCATACTTGTGTTGATCGTGATGCAATAACTCGCACTGCTCACCGAGATTTACTCGACAAGCAATGCTCATATCATCACAATCAACACAGCGTCACTCACCCAACGAGTCTAATTTTCTATTAAGACACACATGCAATGCATGTGCAAGTATGCAATAAGATCAACACATCATGATTACTCAATCGAGGTATGAGCGACCATGATGGATGCAGAAAGGTGACTCAAACATCAAACATAATGGAAATTATGAACTCAAGTGCATGCATGTTGTGCGCTCAACGAGTTCAGTGTATCTGAGACATGACCCGAATTGAGTACACAACATGAGAGGATTGTGGCATTCAAGTGTGAGGCCATAAGAAGTGGGACGACATGTTCACAATTTAGGAGATTTGCACATTGGTGGGCTAGCTTTGCTAGCCATCACTCAACAGAGATGTGCAAGTATCATGCCCCACACATACGGTGCATATGTATGTGATGGTAACACGAGTGCTGGTGATCATTGAGACAACATGTGCAAGCAAATGCCAAAGATAAAATTTGAGTTTTCATGCAATGAGTTTAACATAACAAATGTTCAAAAATATATTTTTTTGGTGCACTCAAACATGGAAGCGATGGAAATACACATGCAAGAAACACAACATGCAAATGAATTTGATCAATTGAGCAGGGTGGTCGATCGGGTCTCATGGCCAATGTGGTTGGTCAGGTGCGGACCCGAATCAGACAAAAGTGAACGGTCAATTGGTCCTAAGGTGGTTGATCGAGCTGAAGTGATAAGTGTGAAATTCTACAAGCAAAGCATCATGCAAGGACAAGCAAGAAAATGCAAACCAATGTGCTCAATTGCAAGCTAGACCCACCATAATGTTCTTACATAGGATCATAAGCTTTGATTTATTGATGCATAGTGCGGCTACTTTCAAATTTGGCTAATCAAGTGAGGTTACTCTTCAATTCCTTAAAGAAAACTCCTCATAACTTGGACAATGAAATAACCCAAGGGCTTTTTCATCCTTCAAGTTCGAAGTGCTCCAATCTCTCCATAGAATATTGGAGCCGCAAAAATTGTGAGAAATTTGAATTTCGACTGTGGGTTTCATGAGCTTAGGATTTGGAACTCACATGGGTTCTTATAGAAAAATCCATGATAAAGGATTCCTAACATAGCGGTTTCTTCTAACACGAAGCCCGAAAGGCTTGTTAGGAAAGGAATGCCATTGATTTTTAAACAGGAACTCACTTTCCCCCTCATGACGATTGGTGTACCATTTTCTCGGCTTGCTCCAAGCTGTTGGTTTCCAGACCACGCATCGACATACCTCGCAAGACTAGGCGAACGAACTAGGGAAGGAGCGAGTAAGGTATGTAAGTATCCATAATAAATGAATTTTGCATATAAAAATATGACCAAAATGTACGTTTGCGCGGAGGGTTGCTCAAGACTCTAGGCGCCACAAAACCGGCGCCGCCCCACTAATTGTCAGAGCCCCAACGACTCGAGCCACTCGTTGTAAGGGGAGGACACCGACGAGAATGTATTCCCGCAAGAGGGAATGGGAATGCCGACTGAGGGAGAGGTGGCCAAGCCCCTCAAGTAGGAGTTAAAAAATTGTAAAAAAAAAAATACTTCTATGATCATTTTTAATGGGAGGCATTTACAAATATAACTTACAATTCTTATGTATCACATCCCACACTTAAAACTCCCATATTTACACACAACATTAAAATCTTTAATATCACATATGAAATAGCCCAATTATTATTTTTTGAAAGTCAAATGCATCTTTTCATACATAGATTTAAAATATCAAAATGCTATCTATGCAAATATGATATTTTAAATATGAGCTATATAATTACATAAAAGTTTTGTGCTGAATATATAATTTTTCCTTCTTTATTTTATGATTTTGTGAGATGAATATTAAAAAATTCATTTACATGTGACAAACAAACGTTGAGAATTTGATAAAATTAATATAAAAAAATTGAAAATTTATCATGAATTTTAATAGTTCAGTGAGAATTTGATCTTGGCGTTCCCCATTGCACGGAACAACACGTTTTTTTAAGTGTAATTATTTAATTTTGATTAATAGCCTCGAGTGTTCCCTTCCAAGATCGTTAGGGTGAAGAGATTTTGCAGAGCCGGTCTTCTCCGATTCTGCAATGAAGCTGGTAGGCATTTACCTCGTTGTTCTCTTCCCCGAGCTAGTAAGAGTTTATTGATTTTCTAAGCATTTTTTTTCTTTCTGAAGACATGTTTGAGCAAAGGGAGCGGTCTCCATTACCCGCCCTGCCACATGCTCGAGTTTTGCGGGCTTCGTCTCCTCCTCGAGTGCCCCATTGATCTCTCAGCCCTTAATATCTTCAGCCCGATCTCAGCTAGCCATGAGCTTGACCTATCGGGCTTCATCAGCGCCGAGCCGTGGTATAAAACAGCTAAGAACTTGCATCTATGGGATGTGTCCCTCATCGATGTCGTTCTCATCTCCTCGCCCGCTGGGATGCTTGGGATGCCATTTCTTACGCGAAACCCAAGATTTTCCGCTAAGGTGAGGTGAAATATTTTGGCTTGGTAGTATTTTTCGCTTTTCTGGCGGGATTTGTTGGGCTTACGTCGGGTTTTATGAAGATATATGCTACGGAGGCGACAATGAAGATTGGGCGTTTCATGATGGATGATCTTATATCAATGCATTCAGAGTACGTCATGTTTTATGGTCATGATGAGAAGACCAGTTTTCCAGACTGGATGGGGTGGGAAGAACTAGGAAGGCTTTCTTTGAAGGCAAAGGAGGTTGTGATGGGAGAAGATGGGGAAGAGCTTGGTTGTTGGCTTCCCTTGTACAGGTTGCCTTCTAATTTATCACACAGTTTTGAAAATTTGAACCTTACTTATAATGGCATCCATGCTGTCTTTTTGGGGTCAACGAATTTGAGTGCTGCAAAAAATGCTTGACCTAGAGAAAAAAAAACAAGAACTACGTGATGAGCACTTTCAATTGATTTCAAATGTTTCCACTTTTTGCTATTTCTGCTTTGTTTTCTCTTTTAGATGTTTTCAGCTTAGTTTTCTTCTTCTGGCTGACTTGATGGTCTGATATCATATTTTATTTTCCATGTTAGTGCAGCAGATGTTGACATCTGCATGGAGAAGATCCAACCTCTTAAATATGCTGAAGAAGCTTGCTATAACTCTATATTAGTGTTGAAAGCGTTTAGTTCAGGTTTGGATATTGGAAGCTGTAATTGGAGAATAAATTCTCCAAGAAGGAACTTTGTTTATCTTTCGACTTCCATTTTTGAGTCTCCAATAGCAATTGATTTTGATTATCGTTCACTTGAGGGAGCCGATATACTTTTGTTTTCTGACATGTCTGCTATAAATGATATTGAAGAAGAATGTAATCTCATTGGTGGGAGTCAAAGTGATTTAAATAAGGATGATAAAGATTTGCATGTGGGTAATGCATCTATCCCCAGGTAAATGCCCCCCTTGTTCTACAATTATGTTGGATAAGTAAATCTTGTTGAAATTGCTAGGTGATGCACTCTATTTCTAAAAGTCACCATTTTGTAGGGCATGTTTGGCTGAGGATGAACTTTCTGAATTTTTGGCGGACAACTGTGAAATTTTAGAAGAGAATGACAAAATGAGTTTTATAACTTCTTATATTGTAGACTCTGTGAGGGAAGGAGGTTCTGTATTGATTCCAATAGGTCAACTTGGAACAGTGCTTCAGCTTTTGGAGCAGATTTCTGACTTGCTAAAATCTCTTAGCTTGGAGGTATCCATCAATTATTGCATATCTACCTTGTAGATCATTGAGTGAATTGTATAGTGGCCGTTATGGATTTATTCAGGTTTGTTTGTGCTATCCATGGTAATGTTAGCATTATGGTAGATTTAAGTTGTTTTTTTTCTCTATTAGACAGTTCTGAAAGATTTCAAAATTTGTACTGAACCGACATGGTGAATGACTATATCGTCAATTTGCTTATAATTATGTAATAATCTAGAAGCTTTCAACTTTGTATTAATGTCATCAAATCAAGGGCTTTAAAGCTAAACTTGTGTCGTGTTAGGATAATATTAGTGAGAAAATTTTAGAAATCTGAGAATATTTGGTCCTTTCTATATTTACCGTGTCGTGTTAGGATAATATTAGTGAGAAAAAATCATGTTGAGAAGTAATTGAATGAAACAAATACTGGAACACATGCATAGAAAATTATTGTGGTTCGATGAGGTCTGCCTACATCTTGGACCTCATAGCCATTGAATTATTTATTAATTTTTAAAAAGAATAAATAGCGAGGGTACAATTTATATGGAGTTAGTGATGAGGATATTGTCGAAATCTGAGAATATTTGGTCCTTTCTATATTTACCTCTCTCATGTGGGCCTGCCAACACCTCCAAATTTTAGAGGATTTGATTGTGATATCTTAGAGAACCTTTGATTGATTTACTCCCTTCCTATTTTTTGTATTTTTTTATTCATAATTATTTCCTTTCCTAATTTAGGTGAGATATGTTTGGTAAGTTTGTAAATAAGGAGGGACTGATTTCCCTATATATATGCACCCTATTTGTGAATAATGAAGGAAAAAATTTTCCTTCCCAAGTGAATTTTACGTGGTATCAGAGCTTTGAACCAAAACCTTAGCTTCTCTGCCATTGAAACCTCTCTAATCCCCTGCCAGCTTGCATGCCAGTCGAAAATCCCTTCTTCCCACAAGGAGGGACTGATTTCCCTATATATATGCACCCTATTTGTGAATAATGAAGGAAGAAATTTTCCTTCCCAAGTGAATTTTACGTGGTATCAGAGCTTTGAACCAAAACCTTAGCTTCTCTGCCATTGAAACCTCTCTAATCCCCTGCCAGCTTGCATGCCAGTCGAAAATCCCTTCTTCCCAGAGGTCCCGACAATCTCCTCTGTCTTTCTAATAGGAACTCTCCCATCTTATTGGCTGAAAATCCTTTCATCCTCACCAAAAATCTCCTCTGGTCTTCCGACAAGAAATTTGTGGTCTTTCTTGCCATTGTTTTGCCTGCAACCAATTCCATCCCTGCAAGTGCGATCCATCACAGAGCTCCCTTGCAGCGCTAGTTTCAGTGTAGGCATCCCAAATCTATCCTCTCAGCAGAAGCAAAAGTTTGCTACCCGCACCCTACCCTTGCCATTGTTTTGCCTGCAACCAAATCCATCACAGAGCTCCCTTGCAGCGCTAGTTTCAGTGTAGGCATCCCAAATCTATCCTCTCAGCAGAAGCAAAAGTTTGCTACCCGCACCCTACTGAAGGCTTTCCAACATCAACAAACTTTGAGATTCTTGAAGGCTATCCTGAAGAAGTTCTGACAGCCAGTCTCATCCTTGCAGCTAACATCCAATTTCTTCCATGTTCTCAGTTCTCGCCAAATCTAGTTGCAATTCCTTCCCCTAACATGGGAGCCCCTGCATGTCACTGAAAATCTCCTCTTTTATGTAGCCAACAATCTTCTTGCAGGTTGCTGGCCCTCTTTGGAATCCTCCTTACAAAGGGAATCCTTGGTTGTAGGCCCTCCTCCGTCGGACCTTCCTTATAGAGTGGTTTATGTTCAGGTTTTGCCACCATCATCTGTTTTCTACAGCAGCAACAACAATATACACAATAGCAACAACAATCAATTGGAGTCTATTTTAAACCAGCAACTAGAAGCAACTCTAAATACACTTTAGGTTGATGAAAAAGTATGTGATGAAGACGATAAGTTCTACTCCGAAGGTGAATTGTGAGTCAGAGATCAGGGGTTATTTCCAAAATACTCATGAACTATTGAACTTTATCACAAATCATAAACTCAATGGTTATAAATTTCTTTAATGTTCATAATAAGTGTTTATGTATTTTTGTCATAAAAGGAAAGAGGACGATATCTCTAGAGAGGGCACAATTCCTAAGATCATTGACCACAAACTCCGTTCATGGAAGAATCAAGATCATATGGTTATTTCTTGGCTAGTCAACTTAATGACACCAATGTGGAAGAAAATTTTTGCTCTACAAAACTGCCAAAGAAATCTGGGAGGCTGCTAGAGAAATATATTCTAGCACTGAGAACACTACAGAGTTGTTTGAGATCGAAACCAAGCTTCATGACCTCCTTCAAGTTATGCAACACCCAATACTTCAACATTCTAATAAAATATTGACTATAATTAGATATATCTGAGACACAAATGTGGAAAAGTCCACAAGATGCTATGACGTTTAAATTCATCATCGAAAAGAAGAGGACCATCAAATTCTTTAGGATTGACTCAAAAATTGGATGAGGCGAGAGAGAGGATAATGAGAACAAAGCGCCAACCTTTGTTGAATTCAGGAGAGGAGAGAGCATGTAGAAGCTGATGTTGACCGAAAATGGGGGTTTACTGAGCACTGAAAGTTCAACTATGTACACCCACAATTCCTCCCATGCCTCAAATGTCAAGAAGAACCATCCTGCATGTGATTATTGCAAGAAGATTTGGCATATCAAACATAAACATTGGGAACTTCATGGAAAGCCTACTAACTGGAAACCTGGACAGGAAGGATCAAGAGAGAAAGGCAAATGCTATAAACACATATGGAGGATCAATCGAACTATTCTCTAAGGAGCACCTTGAAATACTGAAGAAATTCCTTAGAAGTAATGTAGAACGCCCCAATCTTGTGACACACCAAGGTGATATATATTTTTGCCATCTTGCCAATAATGAGAGATTCAGAACTTAAATCATAGATTCATGAGCCTCTAATCATATGATCAGTGACATCAATGCTCTAGTCAACTATGAAAGGCTTCTACATCTACATCGGTAAGGCTTGCAGATGAATCACACTTAAAACTTATTGAGAAAAGAGATGTGAGCTATCTCAAGATATTACTGTTTGCTCTATCTTGTATGTTTCACAATTGGACAGCAATTTGATTTCAATTAGTAAGCTTACTCATGATGTAAAATTTATAACTAAATTTCTGCAAACTCTTGTGATTTTTAGGTAGTGTAATCGGGGAAGGTGCTTTGCAGTGCTGAAATGCATTATGACTTATAACTGTTGAAAGAAAATTTCTCTCGAACCACACAACTGAGGCCATCTCCATATGCCCCTCAATTTTCTGAGTGTGTTGAGTCTATATTTGTCGAAAGACAGGTTATTTTATGTCATTATTATTTGGTCATTCTAATTTCAATATTGTTGTTAAGTTGTATCAGCATTTATTTATTAATAAAAAAATTTACTTTTTATCAACATGTGACTTGTCAACTTGCGAAACACACTAGAAATAATTATCTCATAATTCAGTATAAACCCTCACCTCCTTTTTTTCATTATCCATGGTGATATTTGGGGGGTCTTCAAAGGTTAAAACCCTAAGTGGGGTTAGGTGTTTTGTCTCATTTATTGACCATCATGGCGAAACTTTTAGGGTATTCTTAATGGAGGGAAAATTTGCAACAACCCAAATGTTTTAAAGTTTTCATGACATGGTTTAAACTCAATTCTAATGCAAAATTCATATTCTCAAAATTAATAATGCAAATAAATATTTTAACTCTATCTTTGGGTTCTATTTTTTAAAAAAATTGAATCATCCATGTGAGTTCATATATTAATACCCCACAACAAAATGGGATAACATAGAGAAATAACATACATTTACTTGAAGTATTCCACTCAATTATGAATTTTCATCAGGTTCCAAAATATTTTTTAGGTGAAATAGTGTTTATTGCAACATATCTTAACAATCAAATGCCTATGAATGCCTAGTCGGATACTTAACTTCAAAACACCACTTTATATTTTGATGGTTATCCACTTATCATAATTTTTCTTATACTATAGCACTCAAAATCTTTGGATGTGTATCCTCTGTTCACATTCATTCCCCAACTCAAACCAAACTTGATCCTAAATCTATCATACGTTTAATCCTTTGTTAAGCCTCAAATAAAAAGGCAAATTAGTTTTATTCTCCTGATATATCAGAAAATACTACAACTTTATTGATATCATATCATATTTTTTGAAAATCAATTATATTTTATCCCAAATTTGATGCTCAAAGGGAGAGTGCAAATGACTATTAAATTTGGGATGCACTTGATGACACCCACACAACAAACCCGCCTACTCTTGTTCTTTCACCTAACTCTTCTAGTCTTGTTGAGAATATCCAACCAACTCAACATGAAGTTCACAACAAAGAATTTCTTATGTATACAAGGAGAGAGAAAAATCTTGAGTAGGTGGAAGACAACTTGGAAAGATAGAGCTGCTTCAACCAAAACTCGAATCCACATTTACCAGAAATTTTGAGTGAGGAGTCTAGTACTGATGAGTTATCCTCTTCCTCTTCTAGGGTTGATAAGGAAAGCGGTACTATACACCCAATTAAGGAGTATATAGCTTATGAAAAGCTTTTCTCAGTCCATAGAACATTTATATCTAACATTGAAGTATGCAGATTCCTAAATCTATTCATGAAGCTCTTGAAAACTTAAAATGAAGGAAAATGGTGGAAGAAGAGATTTGAGCACTATAACATGATGACACATGAACCCTTACTAAACTTTCTCAAGATAAGAAACTAGTTGGATGCAAATGGGTGTTCAACATCAAAGACAAACCTGATGGGAGTGTTGAGAGATTCAAAGCCAAATTTGTTACTAAGAGTTTCACACAAGTTTATGAGATCGACTATTAGAAGACTTTCACACCCGTTGCCAAACTGAATATTATCAGAGTT